CGAGTGCCCCTCCAGCACGTACCTGTTGATGCAGAGAGGAAAAGGGGAACGATTAGAGGGGGCTGGCCGCGGCACACGGCACACGGCACAGGCGTAGGAAGAACAGACCCGACAGCGTTGAACAGGCAGCTGTTGTCATCGGCGATGACGCGTCGGATGAGCACGCCGTCGCTGTTCAGCGGAGGCTCGTCTCGCGGCGGCACTGCGTGCGCAGACAGAAGAGGGACGAGTCGCACACACGCACTCAGTAAAGCTGAGTCACCCTCACACCGGCTCTGGTACCAGCGGCAGTCGTACCTGGTCGTGACACCGGTGGCGCAGCGGTGGAAGGCGCCGAGGCAGCTGCTTCGGTGCTGGCCGCTGGTGGTGGAGTGGTGGCGGGTACGCTCGTTGGAGGGGCTGGCAGGGAGGGTGGCTCCGCGGATCGCTCGGCGGTGATGGTGTCGCCGTTGGTCACCAGCGCGGGGAACACCAGCGCGTCTCCATCAGACACCAGGAGCGGCTTGGGTGGGTACCCCACCTTCACTACTCGCAGGAAGAAAAGATGAATGGCGATTATCACAGAATAAAGATGAGGAGCGTAGTACGTAGGAGATTGGAGGCAGGGATCGAGGTGGCTTGGGCGATGCTCTGCACGAAGGCGGCCCATCGGATGTCGGTAGGTAGGTTCCGTACGTTCTTCACCCCCTCGCTGCTCCTCACCCGCAAATTCTACGCATTAATAACAGATCAGTCGAAGCAAGAGATTTGAAGAGGTGCTTGCTTCAAATCTCTGCGAGATCCTCATCCATTTGGAACTGTACCATGCTGTTGTGGCCGTGCAAACCAATTCAGACGTGTAAAATCAATCAACGCTAGTGTCGACACGAACTCTTCTGCCGAACGAACTGAGGTGCTGCAAACAAAGTAGTTCTATTGACACCGTGGGCAAAGGGCATACTGACAAAACGTCAATGGGGTAGTGTTCCCCTTCTACGGCGTCGGGGCGGGAGGGTGACGGCCGCACACTTGGCGCTGCAAAGCCCAAAGGCGGTGTTGCAGCCGAGGATGGCCGGCGTTGCAGCAACTGCGAGCACTGTCCCGAACGTGACGCCCGCTGCGGAGTAGCAGGCAACGGCCAGGCTACAGCACCCCGTCTGGCATACACCGTAGAGGACCGGTCCAGCGGAGACCTGGCAGGTTGATGAAGCCAGTAGAGCGAAGGTGATCGCAAGACTAACGAGCTTTGTGTTGATCATGGTAGCGACGCAGTGTAGTTGAGCTGTCATTGTGTCTGAAGAAGAAGCTGAATGAGATGTACGTAGCTTGTGTCTCAACTAAAACCCAACGTGAAGTGTACAAGCACAAAGTGCCGCTGTGTGTGTGGAATGATTGGCATTTTTTGAGATCATAATTAACGGCTAAATAATCATCGTTGTCTTTCGGTGCCAGGGAAGGGAACCCAAACGAGCTTGACTGCGCTTCGAGTGGCAGTTGAGACGTGAGTGAAGCTTTGACGAGAGGAGCTAAGCGTCGATCGAGGAGAGAAGACGGAAAAAAGATCAACGTCCCTCGATTCACTTCTTGGTTCGCCGGCACAATAGGAGAAGACCTCGCCATTTCGGCCTTGGAACGCCCCAATCATCACCCCTTTTGGGCGTGGATAGTAATTTGTCACAATTCAACAAACCATGAGCCAGGTACCCTACTGCTTCCATCTGCATTCGTCCACATACGCAAATTGGACTTTGATCATTAGGACCATGAAGTCGAGAGATTGAACCATCAATCACTTGTTGCCTCGAATTGTGAAATCATTTTCATAGAGACGAAAGTCTAACCTGTCATCTCCTCCCCCCTCCAACCCAAAATCCATCTATTAACAGTCGGGCACCACTGATGCGGTCGAGGGCAATCGTGCCAAGTCGACGACCATGGTGGGAGGAACCGCCCCACGACCGTACTCGGTCGCCCCTGGCACCCACGTGGCGCCCGTCACGCCGCCACCAGGCGCCTCGACGCGCCCCAAGTCTGTCATCGTGCCCGGTGCCAGCGTCAACACGCTCAAGATGAAGGCCCTCTTCGAAGGAGGCGGCGGCAGCACCGCCACACTCCCACCCACCACCACCTCCTCCTCCTCTTCACCTTCGCCCGCCCTCTCAGCATCGACGATGTCAGCCCCCCACGCTACCACTTCCACATTCCCTCCACCATCGCCCAACAGGCCGTTGTCGTCATCGGCCATCGCGCCCACCACTGCGGCGGCGCCCGCGGCTGCGGTAGCCACGGGCGCGCCTGTGACCCGCATGAAGTCCTTCTTCGAGGACAAGGCGCGAGAGCAGCAGGTGGGCAAGGGCAGCGGCTCAGCCGCGGACCAGAAGAAGCTGGAGCTGGCTCGGAAGCAGGAGGAGCGGCTCATGAAGGACCGCGTTGAACGCGAGTTCTTCGAGACCGAGGAGAACTACTTCAAGAGCCTCGACATTGTCGTGGAGGTGTACGTCAAGCCGCTGCGTGAGGCGAAGATCATTTCGCAGCAGGACATGGACACCATATTCTCCAACATCGAGACCATCCACCAGATTCATCAACGGCTCTACCTCGACCTCAAGCCCCTCTTCTGCCCCGAGACCGAAGCGGTACGCGCACCACACACACCACACACCGCACACACCGCACACACTCACTTTCTTCCGTGCTTATCATACAGCCTGCCACTGCGCCGCAACCGGACGATTCTACACAGCCCAAGTTGGACAAGAGGCCTTCGTTTTACGATTCGGGTGCGTGGCCCCAAAAGCGCGGTCGTGTGAATCGACTCTGCCGGCTTGCGCTGAGACGTTTCGTTCTTTCTCCACTTCTTTTCTGCCACAGCCACCAAGTCAGATAGCAAGACGCAGAAGTCGCTGGGCGACCTTCTCCGCGCTTTCATTCCTTTCTTCAAGATGTACACAGTCTACATCAACAGGTACCCTCGTCCACGCCTGACACGACACGACACGACACGACACGACACGACACGACACGACACGACACGACACGACACGACACGACACGACACGACACGACACGACACGACACGACACGACACGACACGACACGACACAGCCAACGACACGACACGCGGCAGAGCAGTTGCTAACATGTCTAACGCGTGGGACGCGTCGACATCCTCAGTTTTGATAATGCCAACAAACGAATTACGGACCTCCAGAACTCGAGCAAGAAGTTCACCCAGTTCCTCAACGACTGCAAAGCGCGGCCGGAGTGCAAGAAACTGGATCTCGTGTCCTTCCTCATTATGGTGTGTGCTCCCTTCCTTCTTCTTCTACTACTTCTTCCTCGAGTCTTGAGCGTCATTCTCTTTTCGCAGCCAATCCAACGGCTACCGCGCTACGAGCTGCTTCTTCGCGACATCCTGAGGAACACGGCGGACGCCAGCGAGCACGCCAAGATCGAGCAGGTGTTCAACACGGTGGCGGAGGTCAACAAGCACGTGAACTCGGAGAAGGGCGCCTCCATCCTGCGAGCGCGGCTCTACAAGCTCAAGGCCGCCGTCAAGCACCGAGTGGATATTTTCAGTCGACCCGATCGGCGACTGCTGCGTGAGGGAGAAGTGATCATTCGCAAGGTACGTACCGCACAAACACACAACACACAACACACAACACAACACACACAACACACACGTTCAGTCGATCAAGCGTTGGTGTCGCTATGGAAATGATTGATTGACGCCTCGATCTATTTGCGTGTTGTGTGCCGTAACGTGTAGGTGGAGCGACCAAGCGAGAG